AAACGCGCATCCGAAGGGTCTCCAAAAAAGCAGTAAGTCGCCGCTGTCAGTGTGCCTAGAGATGGACAAGCTGGACTTGGCAGTGATTCTTCTACAGCATGGAGCTGACGAGAGTGATTTGGTGGAGCGAGGTGGAGAGAACCCCTTTCATGCTTCACTCCGAATTGGCCTCAAAAAAGGTGAGAAGTGACATCCTTCAACGAATTAATGGAGATTGTGGTTCATAGTTTTCAGAAGCGGAATTCATAATTAAGAATAAGATGTTAACTAACTTAATGAATATATCCTTTGTCACATCCTTTGATAACTTCCTGTTCAAGAACTCCAGCGCAAATCAAATTGGTGGGTGCTTTCCATTATGCCAAAGATTCCGCTAATTTCGGTTGGAATTCAAATGGAAAGGTCCGTTTCGGTTTTTTCCGACCGGAATATTCGGGATCACCTCTGAAGGTGGTCCACTTATTTCGGTCAGAATATTCCGATCGAAATTCGCCGTTCCATTTTTGACAAACCGGCTCTTCGCCCTAATTAGGGAATTCGGAAAAGGAACTAAAAATAGCAAGGGCAATTCCTATTGGTTGGCCCAGTTTAATCAGAAAATGTCGTTCCATTTTCCTCGGGTATTTCCACTGATCTCTGACCGGTCGGTTTGGCATAATGCAAAGCACCGAGTGTCTGCGTAGCATTCGTTTATTAGGTACTTCTCCGAGGACCTGAGAGGCAGGCAAAAGTTTGGATTGTTGAAGGGGGGGAGGGGGTGGAAGATGAAGCAAAAAAACCCGGAAAGGGTAGATGGAGGGGGAATCAAATTCTAACAATTGAGAGCGGCTAAGTTGACAAGGCAACATTTGTCTTGTGTTTACGCCATCCCACACTTCTTAGGAACATGGAACAGCAAACGTCACCGGTAAGCATGAACTGACAAATTGGATATGGTGTCAATATCAATAATAATCAATTTTTATTTGTACTCACTCTTGCTAAAGAAAAAAATTACAATTTCAATGAAAATATTAAAACTAGAACATAATGATGACAAAATTTTCGTGTTTTTGTACTCTTGTACAGGAAACTTTGGGATCTTTCAGTTCTTCCTCGACAGCAAAAGATACCCAATCGATTTGCAGGACAAGGATGGGAACACTCTTCTACATTTCCTATGTCGAGGAAAGATAGATTCAAAGAAGCAGGAAGCCATGATCATTCTTCTCAAAGCAGGAGCAAATCCATCAATCACTAACAACCAAATGAAAACACCCATCGACATTGTTTCTAATTTAAGGTGAATATGATATAGATTCTTCTGAAATTGTGGAATTCTCTGAAGTAACCGGCAGTCGTTCTTATTTTTTCGCGGCAGTGGCAGGTTAGGAATGAAGGTAGTATTGAATGGTGTTAATTGAAGTGAAAACCAACGTTAATGGACTTGAGGCTATGTAATTAAACCTTTAGTCCGCAATATCTACTTTTTACTTTGCAATATCATTTTGATTTCTAGCCATAGTTAGTAAAGGGAATGGCTAAGAAGCACGGAAAGCATCAAAGAAACAAACAAGCAGTCTAAGATTTATGTTGGAAGGTCCATGACCGTGCACATCTATTGTTTTATGCTCATAGACTATGCATGAATTTCATAATCGCAATGCTACTATCGTTTAGTTGTATGAGCACACGTAACCACCTTTTGTATATTGCCAGGTTTTGTGCAGGGTCAACCTCCAAAATAGCCAACAAAAACATACCAGAATAAATTTTGTCAGGTCTCATAACCATTCCCTCTATGACTTATAGTCTAGCAGGGATAACTGATAAGCGAATTCAACATGAATGAAAAGACTGTCTTAATGTAGTAACACTGACATTCTTTTCTCTCAAAGAGAATAAAAGACTTCAGTCTTATCACACTACCATCTTTTCCCTTCAATTTCTCAGGGATAACAGAAGAAACCTACTAAGCTCGGCGGAGGAAAGCTATAACAATCCGAAATCATGTGATCAGGATGCTGCAAAGCAAGAAATTAAAACCAAATTGGACACGGAGGCCCACGGAGATAAGACTCCACCAGAACAATCAAAGACCACTCCTTCCTCTAGCAGCAGTGAAAGCCCTTCACCTTCAAAATCAGCTAATTCAAGAAAAGAGCCTTTGTCCGTTGTCTCTGAACGTATCCGGTCACTCATAAAGAAGTTAGATGTCCGTGCTTGGTTCAAGAAGACGGCTTCACATGAAAAAACAAGAAAAGCGTCCGTGAAAACAGAAAAACCTGATCTTCATCATGATCGAAAGCAAAATGATGTGGTTGAGGAGGCTAGCGGGATAGCTCAAGAAAATGAAGAAAATGCAGGTCATAGCAACGAAGACAACGTTGCTGCTATTTCTGTTACGTCATGGGTATGCGTCGAAGGAGCTTTTGAGGGTTTGCCGTGGGAAGTGGAGTGCACCGCAGAAGTGTGGAAAGTTTTACATGATAAGCGCTTAGAGCCGTGGAAGAAAAAACGGTTTGTAGAGAAGGTGAGAAGTCTTGCTCAAGGCCGGAACAACTGGACAGTGCATCTCTGTAAAAGACTCGAAGGTCTGCCAAAGAGCCGTGGCATGCTTCTTTATGAAACAAGATTGACAGACGCTGCAAGAATCATCTGGGAATGTGCAGTTGCCTTTTCTCCCCGTTATTCGGACGAAGATACTGAAAGTAAGACTACCATCTACTCGGAAATTATCCGAATATGGGATATCGTGTTTGATCATGACAAAGTCCAGCACTCGATAGAAAATATAGTTACCTCGTTCACCCGTGGCCAGGGCTGTATTCTCAAGAAAGAGTTGAGGGGACTTCCAAGGGTTGATGCTTCTGAAAACCAAGGTCCAAATCTCTATGTCAAGCAGACTCAAACCAGTGTACCTACTTTTTCGTCAGCATCTGAGCTACAGGAAGACGAAACGGTTACCGATGAAGCAAACGATGACCAAGTGACTTTCTTTCCTCCTGCGAGCTATCACGACAACGAGTATCAAGTTCTGAAGTTCTACCACCTTTCCACAGCCATGATTCAGACAATACTGAAACAACAGTCATGCAGTGTAGAGATCGACTTTCCATTTCGAGTGACAGAAGAGGAGCATGACATCATCAATTTTGAACCCTCTCCCCGGAGCTCCATCATTTTGATTGGGCGGAGTGGCACTGGAAAGACGACATGTATCCTTTATCGCCTGTGGAAAGATTTCATCAACTACTGGAGGAATGCTGTAGACAGTGGACCATTGCTTTCCAAAAGGATAGTGTTTCTTCCCAAAGACAACTCGGATTCTGAATCATCGAGCTTTGAGGTAGGAGACTTTGCTTGCGGGAAAAGCCAGCAATCGGATGAAACACAGAGTAGTGCTGAAAGCGGAAGAACGCAAGGCGATGACTGTGAGGCAGCAACCAGTTGTCCTGCGGATCCACCTACATCAGTCGAAACAGGTTCTGAATCTGAGGAATCCCTGGAGCACCTCCACCAGTTGTTTGTAACCAAAAACGGTGTCCTCTGCCAAGAAATTCAGAAGAATTTTAACGCCTTGAGCCAAGGGTGCTCATTTATTAAGCATGCAAGTAAACAAGACAAAGCCCCCTTGAAGCTGCAGGAAGTTGACGACTCTGCCACAGGCTGGCCACTTTTTTTAAATGCACGTGACCTGTATGTTATCTTAGATGCTTCTCTGCCTGAACCTTACTTCTTTCCCCGCAACGAAGATGGAAGCCTGGAGACCAGGGTACAAGACTGGGGTGAAGAGGACAATCAGTTGTCCACTATTCCTATCATCGAAGACGACGACGATGCAGAAGACGAAGACGCTGAAGATGACACAGATGAGGAGGACGAAGATCAAACCACAGAAGGTGACGTCTCAACTTGTGAACAGAGGCGATCAATGGTCTTTGTGAGCTACTCTACTTTTGAAAACCTGTTGTGGTCTAAAATGTGTAAGAAGAAGAAACGTGTCGACTTTCATCCCTCTTTGGTCTGGATGGAGATACGGTCTTTTATAAAGGGCTCATACGAAGCTTTGCACACAAAGAACGGTCACCTCAGCCTGGGAAGTTATCAAAAGATTGGTCAAAAGAGGGCACCCAACTTCACAGCTGACAGAGAAGCAATTTACAAACTGTTTGTATCTTACGAGCGGGTCAAGAGGTCTTCCAACATGTTTGATGAAAACGATCTCGTGTTCCATTTGTACCACCGATTGAGGCAATGCAGAGTCCCTGACTGGTCAATTCACAATTTGTACGTGGACGAAACTCAAGACTTCACTCAGGCAGAGTTGGTGCTGCTCATACGCTGTTGCCGTGATCCTAATGGCGTCTTCCTCACAGGTGACACAGCACAGAGCGTCATGCGAGGCATCTCATTCAGATTTGAAGATCTTCGTTCCCTCTTCTTCTACTTGAAGGAGAGCTACAAGGCTGTAGGAGTGCAAGCTGAAGTCTTGGTTCCACAGATAATGCCTCTGATATACAACTACCGATCACACAGTGGAATTCTTAATTTGGCTTCCAGTGTTGTTAGCTTACTGCAGGAATATTTCCCAGAGTCGTTTGACAAGTTGGCTAAAGATCAAGGTCAGTTGGATGGCCCCAAGCCGGTGCTCCTTGGGTCCTGCAGTCAATCGGATCTAGCGATAATTCTTCGCGGAAATAAGAGGAAGACAACCACCATTGAGTTTGGCGCCCATCAAGTCATCCTTGTCGCATCAAACGAAGCGAGAGAAAGGCTTCCCGAGGAGCTCAGCCACGCTCTGGTGTTGACCATCTACGAGGCGAAAGGATTGGAGTTTGATGACGTCCTTGTGTACAACTTCTTCAAAGATTCACAGGTGAGGTGCTGCCGAGATGGGCATCACTAGTGGTGCTCTCGTTTCCAAGCTTGAAATAGTCATTCCTAGTATAAAATTGTCAATCACATTTTTCAATGCTAGATCTAAGAATTTGATGGGACATTAAGACATATATATTGATGCGACCGTCGACAACATATTGGTATTTTAAGGCAACTTTATACATTGATCAAACTGGAAATTGAAAGGCTTAGTAATTTAATTACATTTTAAATCCCTTGCGGGACATCTGTTGGAGCAGTAAGCACTACGGCAAAGAACTTAAGATACATAATCCTAACATGCACTTGTTTACTTTGACGACGACTAAAAGAACTGGAACCTGTAATAAAGGGCACTAACTCGACTCATTAAACGTTAGATTACACCATTGAATTAGTTGTAAATGCAGCTCTTATTGATAAGAAACGAATCGTGATTGTATACTTGAACTTATTCCTTGCTAGGCTCATACTGAATGGAGGATTGTTACACAGTATCTCTTGGAAGTGTTAGATTGTG